CCCGATGTGTTTTTACCACAACTTTGTTCCTGCGACTGATTCAGACCCGGACTTTGTTAGCTCCGCCCACACGTACAAATAAGGAACTTCTGGAACAAACCGACAAAAATACGTCCTCTCAAGATTTCTGGGGTGTGCGAATATATGAGTATATGATAGGAAGGCCACTTTTGTTCCCCAGACTTGTCCAGGGGGCGAGAACCCAGATTGTAGTGTTATGACTGGATTCAGGCTGTTCTGAGGTTCACACAGAGGTATAACAGAGCTGAAGTTGGCTGAATGACAAATGGCACTAATATACTGTAGGTGGTGAGAGCAGAGAGAGAGACCAAAGAGAGAGAGAGAAACTAGAGAGAGACCAGAGATAGATCAGAGGGAGGGACCAGAGATAGACCAGAGAGTAAAAGAGAGACAGACCATAGAGAGACCAGATAGAGGGACCGGAGAGAGAGAGAGAGAAAGCGAGAGACCAGAGAGAGGGACCAGAGAGATCAGAGACATGGACTTGACAGATAGAAACCAGAGAGAGAGAGACAAGAGATAGAAAAGGTAGAGACCAGAGAGAGAGAGAGAAAGACCAAAGAGAGATCAGAGAGAGCGACCAGAGACAGACCAGAGAGAGACCAGAGAGATAGACAAGACAGAGAACAGAAATACAGAGACCAGAAATAGAGAAAGACCAGAGATAGAGAGACCAGAGACAGACCAGAGAGAGCGACCGGAAAGAGACCAGAAATAGAGAGAGACCAGAGATAGACCAGAGAGAGAGTGAGACCAGAAATACAGAGAGACCAGAGACGGACCAAAAATAGAGACCAAGTAAATGACTTACCTTTAAAATAGCAAGGTAAACATTCTCAGTATCGCACTAAAGAGCCCAAAACAAACACAAATCCACGTGTATAATTTGAGCTGTGTGTTCAATCAGACTCCTTCTCATCTTTGCGATGTAATTTAACTTCTCAAATGAACTGTGGGACCTTAACACAAACAGAGTGCCGTCATGTCGAATGCTGCCCAAGGATCCAATTATAAAAAGTTAAAACAAGACCAACCACACTTTTCCCACCTGCACAGGAGCGGGCAAATTAAAGGAGTAGAGCCATTAATTGGGAAATGCTAAATTAAGTCTCCGGCTCTGCGAGAGTGTTTGCGGCCCCCGGCGGTGACTGAATATTTTAATACCCCGTTTCCCAAATTGGAGGATTGGTGAGCGGAACGTTTAGAAAGGGGGGAGGATAGGACGGCGCAGGAGACGTCCCAGAGCAGAGGAAGAGGAAATATTTTGGACAAGGTGTAGAAAGAACCACCTTCTTCAGACACAGGCTGATTACAAGGGGAATGATGACACAACAAGGCTGCATTTTGGACAAAAAGCAACGCAAGAGAGACCAAAAATCATAGACTGTAGAAGGAGTCATCCACCCATTGCATTCAATGTGCTGAACAGTTTGATTCTCTGATCTGTTGTTGGGGAATCGACAGCTTTGCAAAGCCCTCTGAGATAACTACGGTTGTGATTTAGGGCGATACAAAAGTAAATTGAATTGGATTGAAGGAGTGGACTGGCGGAAGAAGCTGGTTAGAGCGAAATGAAACAGAGAGGGGAGAGAGAGAGGCAAGAGAGAGAGACCAGAGAGAGACCAGAGAGAGAGGCCAGAGAGAGAGGCCAGAGAGAGAGGCCAGAGAGAGACCAGAGAGAGAGGCCAGAGAGAGACCTGAGAGAGAGAACAGAGAGAGAGGGGAGACAGAGAGGCAAGAGAGAGAGGCCAGAGAGAGACCAGAGAGAGAGGCCAGAGAAAGAGAGGCCAGAGATAGACCTGAGAGAGAGAACAGAGAGAGAGGGGAGACAGAGAGGCAAGAGAGAGACCAGAGAGAGAGGCCAGAGAAAGAGAGGCCAGAGATAGACCTGAGAGAGAGAACAGAGAGAGAGGCAAGAGAGAGAGACCAGAGAGAGACCAGAGAGAGAGGCCAGAGAGAGAGGCCAGAGAGAGAGGCCAGAGAGAGAGGCCAGAGAGAGAGGCCAGAGAGAGAGGCCAGAGAGAGAGACCAGAAAGAGTGACCAGAGAGAGAGACGCACCACAAAACAACATTAATAGTTATTAGCTACGTGTATCTAGGAACCTAACACCAGCAAACACACACACATAATATATCTCTTCATCTCTAACACACCACATCCTGCTAACCGCGCTTCCCTCTGCTGCTGCTGAATATTCACACTAGGAGCATCAGTATTCACAGAGGACCAACCGCGTGGAGCCACTTGCAGGAAAACCGCGCCTTGATGTCAAAGTCACATTGCTTTTAATATCTGCTGCAACTTCTGTCTTTGATTGGGCCGCTGCAGAGACGCCATTGTTTTTCGGCTCTATACCTCTAGTTAGCATCCGCACTCCCACGCTTTCACTTTTCATTTGTATTCGCACCGCCAGCCCCCGAACAACAAGCTGCATTCTGGATTTCATTACACTCGATGGCATATGTGAGGCTGAGGCTTGTTATGGGAGGAAAGAGACGCATGACAGATAAACTTTGGTGACTTGTTTTTCAATAAACCTGGAATTGGGGGATTTCACGTCAAGGGCGGAAAGGATGCTAGTTATGATTGTGTTATCTCTAGCTTTAGCATATTAAAAAAGAAAGAATAACATCTGTAACTTCAGTATATTAAAGAAGAAAGAATAACATCTATAACTTTAGCATAATAAAGAAGCAAGTCTAAAGTGTCTAGCTTTAGCATAATAAAGAAGCTAGAATAAAATCTCTAGCGTTAGCATAATAAAGAAGCTAGTATAAAATCTCTAGCTTTAGCATAATAAAGAAGCTAGTATAAAATTGCTAGGTTTAGCATAATAAAAAAGCTAGTAAAAAAATCGTTAGCTTTAGCATAATAAAGAAGCTAGTATAAAATCTCTAGCGTTAGCATAATAAAGAAGCTAGTATAAAATCTCTAGCGTTAGCATAATAAAGAAGCTAGTAAAAAATCGTTAGCTTTAGCATAATAAAGAAGCTCGTATAAAATTGTTAGCGTTAGCATAATAAAGAAGCTAGTCTAAAACATGGATGTATTATATTAACTGGATAGAGTATTACTAGCTTGTAGCTGAATAACTCATGTGCTCGGGGGATTCTCGCGGTACTGCAGACTGAACCAGACTAAATTCACGTGGGCTACCCAGAAATTTTCCCCATAGAACTCAATGCATATTAAAACAGCTCGACCTCAGCTGACAGAGAACCTACAGCTTTCATAAAGATAGGATTTTGTGGGGATTTTAGTGTCCCTTGTCATCCTGAACTTTTTTTCTTCTTAAATCCTTCGGTTTTGTTTAAATCCACACTTTAGTGCCACAAACTCTGCTCGTCTGGCTCTCGCTCTAACTCCCGCTCTGATGAACTGCTCTGATTGGTCAGAGCGCGGCCGAGCCCCTCTGTGCACGTGCGTGAGACCCGGTGTGAGACCCACACACGCGTGTTTGACGCAACGCATTATGGGAGATCATCCACTGCGCAGAACCGGGAGGACCAGACGATGCCCAAATACAGGCGAGTTTCCCATAGATCTTTGCGAGTTTCAGGCAACTTCCGCTAATCTTTCAGCCCCCATGCCGTCACAAAGCGCCACTGAGCACAACCATTCATTTGAATAGGGCGCCATCTTGGATCGCCGGGGCTTGGTCTAAAATCTCTAGCTTTAGCAAAATAAAGTCAAAGCTAGACATTTTAAAGCTACAGTATAAAATCTCTAACTTTAGCATAACAAAGAAGCATGTTTAACACCTGTCCTAAAAAATTCTAATTATTATTCTTTTTGCAAACTAAACTTAAAAAACAGACAGTAACAGTCGTCTATACAAACAAATGGAGCCATCATTAAACAGTGACCAGAGAATGTGTTGTCCTGGTTTGTCGCTGACAGACACCAGCCCTGAGTGTGTGCGTCATCATACACAGCCTAACCTCATGCCTTTTCACTGCACAAATGTGATTATGGCAAAACAACATCTGCAGCCCGTTTAACTTGTCACTTTTACACGCCGCGGTAAACAACTCACAGCAGAAGGTGTAGTGTCGAGCTCGGCCTTGTTTTCCGCGTGCTAATGAAATCACTGTTATTTCCACCGCTGGTAAATGGCACCGCACATTTCTGTGATACAGCCAATCGGGAGAGACTTTGAATTATGAGGGTGGTTACTGAAGGTCCATTATTTGGCTCTGTTTCATGTTTCGCAGTCCATCCTAAGCATTTGTGAGAATAATTTGAATGACAACACTCAAAACTTGTGAAATTAAAGCCATTTCTTGCCGAGAAGCAGAAACCTTTTCCCTTGATCCAGAATCTGAACCTCATTATTTAGTTAACAGTTTCCGTACTTACAGTCTAGGCTCCTTGTTAGTGTCTTTTATTGTGGGACCTTTAATGAACAGATTATGACCAGAGATGTAGACCAGCGAGAGAGCAAAGAGATCAGAGAGAGATCCTAGGGAGAGAGACCAGTGAGCGAACAGAGAGAGAGAGCGAGATAGAGACCAGAGACCAGAAAGAGACCAGAGAGAGAGACCAAAGAGAGACTCTAAAGTTAGACCAGAGATATACGAGAGAGAGATAGAGACCAGAGAGAGAGATAGAGCCCAAAGACCAGAGAGAGACCAGAGAGAGAGACCAAAGAGAGACTAGAAAGTCAAACCAGAGATATACAAGAAAGAGAGAGAGAGAGACCGGAGAGAGAGATCAGAGAGAAAAAAAAGTGCAGCTGTGGCCGTCCCTATTAAGACCACAATGATTTAACAATAAAAAAAATAAAAAAAGTTGATTCAGAATCCGTATACAGCCGCTATACATCTACAGCAGAGGTAACTCAAGATATAACTCTGAACCAGAAGTAAATCCTCCTCTTCTGTCCAACAGTTAGAGAGATAGATAGATACTTTATTGATCCCCTGTAGGGTTAGGGTTATAGAAGCACATTAAAGTGCCGTGTCCTCTCTGCACTCACCTGGCTGACTTTAGCAGGAGTCAGGACCATGTCTAACACCCCGGACCAGCCGGCGATCACTCCTGTGGGCACCGCATAGGCCAACGCGATCATCAGGAACCGCACGTTACTGCAGAGACACACACACACACACACAGAACAAAGTCAATATTGTGGAAGATTTAAATGCATATTGTTTACTGTAAGGGTTGTGTTTATGTGACACCAACTCAGTCCAACTTATGTTTGTGTATAAACTTAACCCTTTAATGTATTTTTTTCTTTTTTGGTTCGTCTAAGATCCATCCATCCATCCATTTTCTACCCTTTAATCCATTTCTGGGTCAGGGGGGTGGCAATCAGAGATGCCACCCAAGTCTCATAGCACCAGCCCCTCACTGCCCTCTGCAGGTGGTGAGTTGGGTGGGGGTGGGGTTAAGTGTCTTGCCCAAGGACACAACGACAGCAGTCATCAGTGGGAGTCGGTGGAGAAGGTGTAGAGGTTCGTCTAAGATGTAGGACACTAATAACATAAATAATTTGTTTTGGGGTTTTTATTTTTTATTTTTTAAAACCCATATTTAGTTTTATTACAGGCCTTTACCAAATGGTTAAGATGCAGCTTGATGGTAAAAGTGCCTAAGTGAGAAGCCCTAGTGAGGTAGATTTCAGTTCCAAGCTTCAATTAGATATTTGGACTCAAAAGGTGATCTTCCAAATGGTTGAGGAAACCATTAAAGGGTTAAATCACAGCAGCGGTCTTCTCTGAAGACTTTACAAAATTGACAATTCCTCAAAAACAGATCAAAGAATCAAACAATTCAAAGGCCAGGTTCAAAGACAGGTGGACTGTCTTGTTTGTAACTCACATAAAAATGTAAACGTTCGCAGAGAGACTGGTGTGGGGAATAATGAGGAGCATGACTTCCTCATATTGACCAAGAGGAAAAAACAAACATTGAATAAATATTAGTACTTTAACTGGCTCCAACTATGACCAATAACATGTCCATAAATGTTAATAAGCGTCAAGAAATGTCCATAAACGCCCTGGATCATCACTAGATCCAGGACCCAGGCTGTAGATCCAGGACTCAGGCTGTAGATCCAGGACTCAGGCTGTAGATGCAGGACTCAGGCTGTAGATCCAGGACTCAGGCTGTAGATCCAGGACTCAGGCTGTAGATCCAGGACTCAGGCTGTAGATCCAGGACTCAGGCTGTAGATCCAGGACTCAGGCTGTAGATCCAGGACTCAGGCTGTAGATCCAGGACTCAGGCTGTAGATCCAGGACTCAGGCTGTAGATCCAGGACTCAGGCTGTAGATCCAGGACTCAGGCTGTAGATCCAGGACTCAGGCTGTAGATCCAGGACTCAGGCTGTAGATCCAGGACTCAGGCTGTAGATCCAGGACTCAGGCTGTAGATCCAGGACTCAGGCTGTAGATCCAGGACTCAGGCTGTAGATCCAGGACTCAGGCTGTAGATCCAGGACTCAGGCTGTAGATCCAGGACTCAGGCTGTAGATCCAGGACTCAGGCTGTAGATCCAGGACTCAGGCCGTGTGCGGTGAAGGACTGAAGAGGTTCCTAAGCACTAACTTCCTATAGTTTCAGAATGAGAAATCTGTCCTGGTAGGTGTCAAAAGTACGATTGTAGTCTTAGTTTAAAGCCAAGTTCCAGTAAAAATCCATGTGAAAACGACATGAAGTTAGTTTGAGAGAGAAAGCCAGACTTTTCCACACAAACTTTGGTAGTTCATTGGTCTTTCTCCTCTCGTCTATCGCTGCATCTCAAACATTCCATCGCCGCCACAGCTCACATCCATGTTTTATTTATTTCACGTTTATTGTCATCAAGGAATCCTGCGTGGAACAGCTTGGCCCCGTCTGAGTTTGACGCAGGCAGCTTTGTGATGAGTTGGAGGAGTCTCGCCCTTTGGCTCGATGGGGCTCCTGAACGCTCCATCACATTTAACACACAGTACATTTAGAGGGGGGCGACCACTGTCTCTGCCCCAATCACAGCCGAGATCGATCCTAAACCAGTTCTAGTCCACAAGCTCAAAGAAATAAGCAAAGTCTTTCAAAAGGCTGCAGCACAAGAGGGGAAAGGGATTTGAAAGAGGAAGTGTTAATGGTTTACTTTTGACTGCGCTGGAAACGGCAGCAAGTCTTGAGTAGCTCTGAAACAGTTGTTTTGTGTTTTAATGATCCAGACCAGAGCAGAGAGGTTGCACGGTCTGAACCAAGCAGATCAGGTGCAAATTCAAATTCAGATTCATTTTTTTTGCCACATTGGAATTCATTAGCAAAAGTCCCCAGTGTGCACAAGTACGGCCATAAAACAACATTAAAAGTACAGAAAAAAAACTAATAAAACAGTAAAACAATTGTCACTATGAAAACGATCGGCAAGACAGTATCAATGCAAAGTGCAAGATCATTAAAGTGCTCTGTTCAAAGTGATAACAGCTTGTGGGAAGAAGCTGTTAGCATAACGAGATGTCCTGCATCTCAGAGAACGATATCTTCTGCCAGAAGGAAGAAGCTGGAACACGGCTTTTCCAGGGTGGCCAGAAGAGTCATTGATCACTCAAAGAGCCCGGTTTAAAAGTCTGGATTTATAAAGAGCCTCCAGAACAGGAAGCTGACAGCTCACGGTCCTCTTAGCAGAGCGGAGCACCATAACTCACTGGAAGAATGCTAATTTTTGGGAGGAATTTCACTCTGAACCGGAGCAGTGATTATGGTCCACAAACTCTACATAAGTCGACCAGAGGATATGAAGCAGTTACACCACCTCTGATGCTGGCACCTGAATAGCTGTTTAACTTGATTACTGTTGTAAATTTTAGAAGGATTTGTTTGATATCTATCTATCTATTGAAGACATGGAGAGTATCTGATAAAGTATGACCACTGTAGATGGGGATTTTACATTGTGTTTGTTGCATGTACTGTATAAAAGTCATGGACACTGAGAGCCTGTTAACATGTTCATGCTTAGGGAAGTGAACATGGGTGCAACTTTTGCTCAAACTCCCAACGTAAACTCCTGGGGCTTTGTAACCATGTGTGTCACAATTACCATTTTGGACGCTCTCCATGGTCCTGGTGTTTATACTGTGATGTCTTAGGATATGCTCACTCCCTGGACACTATTTGGCGCAATCTATTTTGAATGAGTGTGAGAGAGAGAGATCAGAGAGAGACCCAAAAGGGAAACCAGAGAGAAAAGCCAGAGAAACACCAGAGAGAGAGATCAGAAAGAAACCAGAGAAAGACCAAAGACAAAGACCAGAGAGGGACCAGAGAGAGAGAGGGATCAGTCAGAGAGACAAGAGAGAGACCAGAGAGAGACTGGAGAGAGAGAGGGACCAGACAGAGACACAAGAGACAGACCAGAGAGAGAGAGGGATCAGACAGAGAGACAAGAGAGAGGCCAGAGAGAGACTGGAGAGAGAGAGGGACCAGACAGAGACACAAGAGACAGACCAGAGAGAGAGAGGGATCAGACAGAGAGACAAGAGAGAGACCAGAGAGAGACCAGAGAGAGATAGGGACCAGACAGAGAGACCAGCAAGTGGGACCAGAGAGAAAAGCTAGAGAGAGACCAGAAATAGACCGGAGACAGAGGCTGGAAATGGAGACCAGAGAGAGAGAGAGAGACCAGAGAGAGACCAGAGAGAGACCAAATACAAAGAACAGAGAGGGACCAGAGAGAGATAGGGACCAGACAAAGAGACCAGCAAGTGGGACCAGAGAGAAAAGCCAGAGAGAGACACTAGAAATAGACCAGAGACAGAGGCTGGAGATGGAGACCAGAGAGAGAGAAAGAGACCAGAGAGAAAGAGAGAGAAGAGACCAGAGAGAGACCAGAAAGAAGAAAGAAAGAAAAACGGTGCAGAACTAACAATAAAAACGACTTTATTCCATGGAAGAATTCATTGTGGCTTGGACTGGTCTTCCTCGCTCTCCCTGGCCACTATTTGAAACCATGCATATTGAATAAATTTGAATTCCCATAAAACAAGAAGTTCTCGAACAAAACGGACGAGAGTGTAAATCCTGGATGTTTGAGTCGTGTGCCGGTTTCAGGACCACACAGAGATAACATCCTGCTTTCCCACGTGAGAAAAAGTGCTCGAGGCAAACGCCACCGCTGCAGGCGCCAACACCATTTGCCTGTTTATTTATAACCACGTTTAAACAACCTGGGAAATACAGCAGAAAAAAAGTCAAAAAATGTAACTTTCTGCAAGATTTTTACCAGTTTAAGCCTATTTCTCAAACTAACAAAAGCAATAATGAATGAAATTAATGTCGCATGTAGTCACAATAGTGGTAAAAATGCTTCTTCCATTTGCTGGGAGGAGTATGGAAACTTAAGCACTGTCTCCTACTGTCATTATTATGGCTTCAGCTGTAGTCTGTTCATTGCTATCCAGCCAGTGTCCCCTTTCCATGCCTGGGAGCCTCTTCAGTCCAGTGTAGGGTTTAATCCCGGGACACGGGATTCCCGGTAAATCTGATCAAAACTATTTCCCGATTCCCGGGAAATGTTATGACGGGAAACGGGAAATGAAAGTAAAAAAAAAAATCCAGTGCGCTCCTATTCCAGAGCACGTTTATTGTTGTTCAAAGTTCAAACATATTTCATTTACAATCAACATGTCTACAGCTGAGAGGATAGCTCATAAATTGTGTTTTTGACAACAAATATGGGTCTTAATCGCGCTAAACCACGACTTTTAATGAGGCCAGCCTCAGGGTACGGGGCACATGTGAGCCCAGAATTTGGCTACGTCCAATTCTAGCGGAAAGCTCCTTTCTTTTTTTCTATCTGCTAAGGGCAGCAACAGGTTTGGCTAACATACATATAACACATTTTAAGATCATATAAAATGCATTTAGGGTAATGTTCTGCTTCCAATGACGATAGGAATGATAAGGAAGAGAGAAGGGTAAGAAGGTTGATATTAGAAATTGGATGCGCCCGAGAGCCGGCTGCAGCCAGCGAAAAAACACAGGAGTTTATGGAGGTGGCACCCGTTTTGTTTTACGCTTTAAAACTCTTTGGCCTTATTTCCAAATGGGGGATTACATAACTACACGCAAACTATTATCTG